GTCCTTCCGTATTTCTTCATTCTGTCCTATTTATTCTTTCTTTTCTGCAACTAACCTAGTCCCTAGTTCAAACGACCTATTCTCTCTGCTTCTACCCTCATTTCTTCCAACCTATTCTTGTCATAGTAGTATTCAGAAAACCTAAGTCTGATATTTTTATCTCCCGTTTAAAACCTTTCAGTACCTTTCCACTTCACATGGAGCAGTGATTTCCAAAACAAAGGTAGTTTTATCGTAACATTTAGCAATGTCTAGAAACATTCTTGTTTGTCACCATGGAGTTTGGGGAAGAAGCAAGGTCTCCTACAGGCATCCAGTGGGTAAAGGCCAAGAATGCCACCAAACATCCTACAGTGCATAATGCAGCCTCCATCACCAAAACATCTTTCATTCTAAAATGTCAATAGTGCTGAGGTTGAGGAACTCTGTTATAAAATCCAGGCTCCTTATTTTGGGCTATAAAGCCTTTTGGAATCTGTCCTGCCTAATTCTTAACCTCATCTTCTGTTGCCTTTCTTTTCTTTTTCTCTTCCTTCTTCGCAAAGGCCCTTCTTCCTTAGAACATGCCAAGCTGGTCTCTGTCTTTTGGCATTTGACTTTGCTATCGCATGTCCCTAATTTTTTTTAGTAGTAGTTTTCACCATCAATAATTTTTGTCTGTTTGTTTACATGTTGTATTAGTTTGCTGAGGTTGCCATAAAATACAACGAAAATAGTGGCTTAAGCGACGGGACTTTGTTTCCTAGCTCTTCTGCATTCCAGGAGTCTGAGATCCAGATGTTGGCAGGGTTGGTTTCTTCTAGGGCCTCTCTCCTTGACTTGCAGACGCTTGTCTTTTCCCTGTGTCTTCACACTGTCTTCCTCCTGTCTCTGAGTTTGAATTTTCTCTTCTTATAGGGACATCAGAGATATTGGATTAGAGACCTACTAGTAGCCTCATTTTAACTTAGTTACATCTATAAAACCTGTCTCCAAATATACCCACCTTTTGAGACACTGGAGATTAGGACTTCAACATATGAATTTGGTGGGGGGGGGGCGGGGTCACAGTTCAGTCCAAGACTCATGTATATTGTTTATGTTTTCCCTGCTAAAATGTAAGTGCCATGGTGGAGAAGACCTTATCTATCTTGTCTGATACTACATCCAAAGCACTTAGATTGATAGTTGGTATAGAGTTAGTACTAAATAAGTTTTTGCTCAATAAATGAATAGACTTGACTAGTGAATTATATGATTTGGTTACTGATAACATGTAAAAGCAAGGCAGAGAAAAAGTCTTGGATGTTTCCCAGGTTTGTAGTTTAGAAGATTGAAAGGCTAGTGGTATCCTTAAACATGATAGGCAACACAAGAAAAAATCAGGATTTGGGAGAAAAGCTTTAGACATGCTGAGTGAGAAATACTTGGAATATATTCAGGTGGAAAAATTAAGAAGACCTGTAGATATATGGCCTGGAATGGAATGAAGAGATCTTGGTCAAACACATAGATTTGGGGCTCATCAATTTATGGGGAGTAGTAAAATCTAGATAACAGATGAGATTATTCAAAAAGAACATGCATAGGAAGGAGCCTAGTACAGAAGCAAGGAAAGCACTAATGTTTAAAGGTTGAGTGGGGAAAGCAAAGTTTGGTTGAGAAGTGGTAGGAGGCAGGAAGAAAGGAAGAAGTGAGGAATCAGAACCAAAGGGGAAAAGATATTGAATGGAACGATCACCTGTGTCAAGGGATAAAGTATTTCTCAAAGACTTTCAAGGAATAACCTTTCCATGATTTACTCTTTGGAAAAAGTGGTCAATTTAGCGAGATAAATGCTGAAATTTACATACTTCTCTTGCAGAATCCCCTAAAACATTAGCATAATAATGTCTCTGAGAAATCTTGCTGTACAGAAACATACATTTTAATTTCCAAATTAAAGTTTCCAAAGCTCATGATTTGAGTACATATCTCTCCGTTTTCCTCCGACTTAACAACTATTAATAATAGTACAGAGAACTGGATCCCAAGGAAGGCTCTTTGTGAAACAATGTTATCACATAAACAATTAGGTAAACACTGAGAGGATTCCTTTACATTTGACAATTAGGGGCCTTGTCTGAGTGGTTTCCATAAAGTGGTGGGGCCTTAAGGGTGAATAGGGAGGGACAGAATAAAGCAGTAGGCATAATCTGCTCATTCTATACGCTTGATCTCAAAGAAGAGGAAGAAGATAGGGCAGTATCTTGGGTGGATGGTTGTATAAGGTGATATAATTATTTTTTAATGGAAAGGATATGACTGGGTTTATAGACAGTAGAGAGACTGAGGAATAGTCGCAAGAGGAGTTCAACAAACAGTAATCAATAGTAAAAAAGGTCTACAAGGAGAAGGGAGAAACTAAGATCAAGAGAAGTCTCTTCCCTTTTCTGAAAACTGGAGAAAATGAAAGGAGAGCCTGCAGTGGTAGATGTAGGGTAAGAGGTTGTGGAAGCTCATGATAAACTTCAGTTTCTCAGACAAGAACATGTGCTCAGAATTTGTCTTTGGTGCTGAAACAAAGGTGCCCTTCCTTTCTTTCCCCTCCACCCAAAAAAGGTCACGTCTGATATCGCTCATGTAAAACTCCTTTCTAAATGTCATGATTATGACGCTATGGTCAGGGCATCACCTCTTTTTTGTGCTACTATATAGGCATCATTGTTCTGACCTTTAATCATGTAGTTTCCTTCAGGTCTCTGCTTCTGGAGCAGAGTTATTTTATGCATGTCTGTTTCCTACTACCTTTTACAGAGTGGAGTGTTATAAACATTGTGGAATGATGAGTGAGTCACAGTCAGCATCCCAATCCATCCTCAACTGAGAATTCAGTTAATTGCCTTATTATAAATTATTATAAGGAATCCTAGTACCAGGGTGTAGCTACGCAATTCAGTTCTGTACACTTTCAGTGGTAAATCTTATTTAGAATTTTGTCCCGATCTTATTTCTCTACATTCAGTTTTCATGATTCATGCCCAGCTTAGTTGATTTTCATCCTGGATTGCTCTACCTGGTTGCCCCAAAGTGTGCTATCTTTGTATATAAAACATTTATCAGAGTGCAAGATACAAAGCAAGTTTAATAAATGGTAGTCATTATTACCATTATAATGGGATTCAACTCAACCATTCCCAAAGCTGCAGTTTTATATTTCTCGATTATCTACATAGTCTTCTAGATCTTGCCCTTTCTGTGCACATTTTCTTTAATATTTTTCCCTTATGAACTATGTAGTCCTCTTCATCCCACTGTTTTAATTGTTAACACCAAATCTTTCATTTGTGTTTATTTATTTAATTTACTTACTTAATATACATATTTATACTTCAACATTCAACATTTTCCCTAGCCAACATTTATCATCTTTCATTTCCCCATATTTCAGGCACTCCAAAATGTCATTCTTTTATTCATTTCTTCCCCAGTTATCAGTTGCCAATAAGCCTGAAGGCATCCCTGTAAAATTTCCGTGTACACAGCAATACTTCTTCGTCGGGCACTTACTATGTACTTCCTACTATTCCTGGTATTGAAGACACAAGCATGGTAAATTGGAAAATAGTCACCATCTATATGGAGCTCATATTCCAGTGAAAGAGTTAGACAATAAACAATTCAGAATTAGATAACTAATGAACTTGTAAACATTAGTTTCTTAGGTGGGTCACCAGACAGTAGAAAACTAACTTATAAAGAATGCGTGGCTTGGGTAGAAAATATCCCTGGAGCAAAGAAAGTGTAGGCAAGCTGTATCTGAAATTCCAGACTAACGAAGTGAAGGAAGATTATTAGGTCATGTAGTACAATAAACCTATCAGGATCTACAATGGAAAGACTTAAAATGTGATTAACCAGGCAACGTGAGGATGATGGTGTGTAGTTATTAGAGTTATGATTATGGCCATTTTCGTGAATTCCATCACAATTGCCTGAAAGCAGCCTTGCTTAAGAGTTGCTAGGGATCAGAGTTTGTTTTGTTGGGATGTCAGTAGAGGTGGAAGGCATTTGTAAAACATACTTTATAACTTGGATCTTCTCTTAGATTTTTAAATAGACAGGCATTTCCCATTTTGCACATGAAGGCAGCTCACTCCCTAATGGATTCCAGACCTCACCCTATTTCAGTAGAAAAAGTCTATTGGAAAAATTATTACTTCAATTATGAAGATGCTGAGCTTTTGGTGTTTATGGAATCTTCAGTAAGAAATGGCCACTTAGCACTTTGATATGTAGACCTTGAGTTTCAGAGGGGATTGGGAGTTTCAGAGGGGAATCTTGGTTGGAGAAAGAATATTTGGTGTTGTCTTATCCAATGGGAATGGATGAGATTGCCTAAAAAAGGTGTGCTGCATTTTACAATGTTCAGAGTAGATTCCAGGTAGGGAAAGAAGTGACAGTGGAAAGGGGCTGACTGTGAGAAGGTTGAGAGGGTCATTGTATTACCGATCTGGTTAAGATAAAGAGTTGGCCTACGGAGAATAATTGAGTAAGAGAAATTGCAGAGTGAAAAGTAAAAGTTTGTATTCAGAGAGTGGGGTGACTGAATTTAATCTTTTAAATCTGGAACGATTCTGGGTAAAACAATTTTGGGCATGCCTGGGGAGGACTGAAAGTGAGGAGGGATCCTGTGGAAAGGATTGTTAGGGAGGGCACAAAAGAGTGGAATCACAGAGCAGTGATCGTCATGAAGGTACAAAGAGATTAGGCCAGGGAGGGGCTTAGGTGTCAGAAGGGAAGTGAGGATACCAGAAATGTGAGGTGTGATGAGCTACGGAATTGAGAAGACCAACTGCTGCAGCTATCCTCTGGAGAGAAGACTGGCGAGAGGCTTAGGTTCTTCTAGAGCCAGTCACAGCCTGGATGGAATTTTGGTTGATAAGGATGTGGCAGTGTAGATATCTGTGGGTCTTCGTTGCATTGGTTCTGAGGTCAAAGTTGTTGGTGTTAGACTTTGTACTAGGGCTGCTGCATGGTCTCCAGGAGCTGTACACCGTGCACTTTAAAGGAATTCATATTATCTGTTATCCTTAAGCCCCTTCAAGTGTGTCATCTTCTGGGCTTTTTTACAAGCTCAGACTGGGGTTGGGAAGCAGGGCTATATCCATTTCTAGATGCCCTATGGAGGGAATGGAGATAAGGAGTTGAAAATGGAGAATGAGAACTATTTGGTGCATCTTGGGTTGAATTGGAGGATTGAATCAATGCTAGGAATGAAGTCAGAGCCAGGTGAGGGACCAGAAGTCACTTCCAAAATGACTAAAACAAGGAAGTAAAATTAGAGGATTAGAAGATCACATGTATCCCAGATATATGATAGAATGGCTAGATATGGAGTGGGTAAGAAACAAGGTCTAGTTATTAGGGTGAAAGTAAAGGTGGGGTTTGGTTATATGACATATAGTATAGGGTTGGTTTGGTATTAACCGTATGCCTTCTTTTTTGAAGAAGGCATACAATTAAAAAACAAAACAAAACATGGCTACATTGAACCAATTAACTCTTGGCACCTTGTGACCAGTAAGATGACCTTGAATAGTCTGTTAAAATCTATGGCACTCGGTCTTCTCATCTGTAAAATTTAAGCTATTGGCTCGGGTGATCTCTGAAGTTCCCACTAGCTCTGTGATACTACATCATTTATTTTGCCTTATTCAGCTTCCATCTATTCTCCAACAACCCCCAGGTCCTGCTCTAGGGCCCCAAACTGCACTGACGAGGTCCACTGCCGTCAGGCAAGGCCAGCTCTCCTTTCTTCCTCACATTGTGGGTTGAAGTCACTGCAGACATTTGGGGAGAAATAATACGTATCCTTCTGGAAAGTGAACGACCCAATTTCTCTAGAACAGAATGTGACTGTATTGTTTACATTTTGTTTTATTTTTGTTACCGGGCAATCTGTATTGAGCCCATTGGAATGATCTATGCCAGCTGGGTTTTGTGCCTCATCACACTGGCAGAGAGAAGAGTATGAAGCCTGCTTGGAGAAGTGAAGGAAGCTGAAAAGGAGGCAAAGAGTGAGGACAGAGAGACAAGATGGAAGTGGGGGAGAAAAACAAGGATGAGAGAATGCCAGGTGGTGCTGAGAAGGAAACGAGAGACTTTTCTGCTTGTAAAGGGCACACGATGGCAGAATCCAGCTATGCAGGGGCATCTGGCTCCAGAAATAATAGGCTACTTGGCACCCACTTCTTCAAAACGGTGAGCTTCATAAACAATCTTCTTTGTCTGATGTGGATATTTCATGCCCAGCAGATGTGTTCCACAGCATTTCTTGTTGAGAGTCAACCTTATCAAAGTGATTTGAGAGGAGGACATTACTTACGTGACAGCTATCTGCTTTTATTTGAGACTCTAAGATGGGAGAATTCAGATTAGGTATTGCCAGTTGCATTATTTGTATCTCTTTTGAAATATGAGAGTTGATTGGGACTGTGGAAACTATTTTCTTCTCATTTCTTTATTACCACATATTTAACATGTATCAACAAGCTGACTCTTAATTGGCTGGCTGAAGTACAGAAACAGTATCCTGTGGGAAGGGGAAGCAAAACCATAAACAAACCTAAACATTTCTTGATGCCATTATGGCTCTCAGTGGCTGTCTTATACTAATGGAGATTTCTCTACATCACACACACACACACGGGCGTGCGCGCACACACACACACACACACACACACACACTATATTATAAAGTGGCAAAAACCACAATTACTTTTGCATCAACCTGATAGTAACTCACTAACTTACTACTAATCTGATAGTAACTCGCTACATCTCACTAGTAATAGTGACTCACTAACTTACTTACTACTACTCACTAGTAAGGAGATTGTGGAGATGCGATCTTCTTTTCCCCTTACCTTACTGGCTTCCTCCTAATAAGCTGAATTTGGGTGTGAGGGTACTCAGAGAGAGGTAAGGTTGACTTTAATTTTCCTTTGAAGGTTATCTGTATTTGAAAGAGGACAATTCAGATGCTGACTTTGCCCATATGGCAACAAGTAACTTTTACTATTACTTTTATGGGCTTCAGAGAGGCAACATAATCTTCTCAGAAGGCCCTGCTGACTGATTTGTAAAGGAATGTTATTTTGCAAGTAAAGTGACTGAGAAGTCACTATAATCTTCTGGGGTAGAGAATCAGAAAAGATGTGAGGTCGGTATGATAGCCTTGGGAAGACAGAATAAGGCAATGAAGACCTTATAGTTTTAGAGCTGAACTCAGGTTGGATCTTTTATCTGATAACATTTTAAATATTCAGTGTTATTCTCTGTCATTACAAATAGCCAGAAGATAATTTTGTTTTCACAAGGGAGTGATTAAAGAAGGAAGAATTCAGGGCAAAATTTATGAGAAATGCTTCTCAGGATTGGCTACTTGACAGCTATCAAAATAGGCTTCAGAAAGCTTACCTGCTGTGTACCCATCAAAGAGTGAGAGGAATTAATGAATTCTAGATGAATTCAGTATGTTCTACAAACCTAGGAAGATCTAAATTTCATGTTGCATGAATATTTTTTAGTTTAAGAATTGGTACCAGTTACCTTGTGATTGGTACACTGGATTAAGAATTAAAAGATCTGAAATTGGGATAAAGAATGAAAGAAAGTTATGTATCTGGAGCTATGACAAAGAAAGTTTTTAAAATAATTGCTTATTATCGTTAATTCAAGGTAATTACCATTACTGTTCTCCAACCTAAAAAAATCCTTTCTGCTATTTTGCTTCCTCTTCTACCCCTTTTCTTCCTTTTCTTGTACTCATATTTAACATGTTTCTGTGACAACTTTAGTGGTTAATCTGCTTATGCCATTCTGGACACAAAGGGATCATGTCCCCATGTGTGGGAATCAGTCCCATTGAAGGGGGAATGAAATCAAATTACAGTCTCAGGTCCTCAGAAGAAGTCCCTGAAGAGTTCAGCTCCTGGTTAAAATCGATGTGTGAATTTTCAGGCCTGACCATGGGCAATTACAATGGTGTTACCTGGCAGGCCTCATGGGGAAAGCTGCCTTCCCCATACCAGATTTTCCAGCCAATGCACTGCAGCCTCGAGAGGGAGGGGCAGTCAAGGACTCAGGTTCCCCAGCCAATCATGTTCTTTCATATATTTACCTTCCTAACCCAAGAACCTGCATTCCTAGGTCTCTGACTCCTCAGACAGAGTTCTTCTTCAGGTTCCTCTGCTGAAACCTTCTTATGCAGGAGGAGGGAAAAACCTTGAAGACACTTTTCTGCATTCTGACTCTATGCTCAGGATTTTTCCCTCCTAGCCTTTCTCCTCTTCCATCCACAGCACTCTTCCCTTGTCTATGGTGACCCATCTGACTCTTCTTAATCAGCGTGCCTTTCCGTGGGGAAAAACGGAAGAGGGAGAGTCAGTGCCTCCACCATTTAGCCTCTTGCTTACACCATCGCAGCATGCGATTAAAAGCTGAATCCTGTCATTTTTGACAGGTTGTTTTAATAGGCTGCTCTGATACCTGGTACTCAGCTTTCTGTCTGTCTCTGTCTCTCTCTCTCAGTTCAGCTGAGTTCCTGACAGTCCCAGCTTTGCCTCTTCCTGGTTATGTGACCTTAGGCAAATCATTTAACATTTCTGAGTTTCATTTTATCATTTGTAAATTTAAGACAATAATACTCCATGGAGTTCTTATGAGGATTATATGAGGTGCTTGTGGAAAACACCTTACCTGGTAGATTGCAACTCAGTTCTTAATCAGAAACAGAAACAGTGGTCATTTATCTCAGGTCCTCTAAGGAGAACTTGCACTTACATATTTTCTTGCAATGCCTTGGATTACATCATATGGCAAAGTCCTTTTATGTGTAAATGGCAGCTGTGAGTGTAATCACTTGTTAGCGTCTGTTTCTTTTTTTTGAGACGCGTTTCACTCTCGTTGACCAGGCTGGAGTGCAATGACGTAATGTCACAATCTCGGCTCACTGCAAGCCCTGCCTCCCTGGTTCGAGTGGTTTTCCTGCCTGAGCCTTAGGAGTAGCTGGGATTACAGGCATGTGCCACACGCCTGCCTATTTTTTTTTTGTATTTTTAGTAGAGACGGGTTTTCTCTATGTTGGCCTGGCTGGTCTTGAACTCCTAACCTCAAGTGATCTGCCCACCTCGGCCTCCCAAAGTGCTGGGATTACAGGTGTGAGCCACCACGCCCCGTCTTTTTTTTTTTTAATTAACATTCGCACCTCAAAAAGAAGTACTACATATATAGGGTGAGAGATTAAATATAAACACAGCAAGTTCCACCCCAGTCCTATTTCTCCAAGGCTGCATGGCCAAATGGAATCTTGAAGAGAACACCTGGACAACAGAGGACTTATCAGTGACATCTCCAGTCTGGACTTCTGCTGCCTCTTTGGCCACCTCTCCTCTTGCCTTTTGGTAGACCCTGAACAAAACACCCATCAATGCAGAACGGCCATCCCATCAAATCCTGGCCATTGAGTCCCTCCACGGCAGCCTGGGCCTCCTTGTATGTGTCATACTCAAGTAGAGTATACCCCTTCAGATATCCTGTTTGCCTTTTACTTTTATCCTGTTTACTTTCTTTGTTACCATTTTCTGGTTAACTCTGGAAGGAATATTTTTTTCGTCTTCCTGGCAGCATTTTTCTTTTATTTTGATGCTTTTTGTCAGATACATTTCCCCCTGCTGACATTCATGTTGTATGGTGCATGTGTTAACGTGGCAATGAGATATTGCAGTAAGATTACAGCTTCACGAGGGGTTACATGAATGATAGTCTCCAAACAGAAACCAGTGTAACTGCCAGAAGGGAAACCTTCAAGATTCTCAACTTCGTTTTCAGTTATGTTATTAGAATAAATACGTTCTCTAATGGCAGAAGGAACTTCAGCTAAGGACTATAGGTGATGTAGGATAACATTCAGCTACTCACGGATCTAAACAAGACGGCGTTTCCCAAGATTATAACTTATCTGTGAAAGGTACTAGAAATGACTAAATTTGGTGCCCCATACCACCCCTTATGACCTCAGACCTCAGGGAGAAGCCCATGGTCAGAAACTCAGATTGTGCTTGCGTCCCAGACAGAAGCTATAGTATGAGCTCATGGGTATCTAGAAAACTTTGCCCAAACTGGGACAGAGAATGCTACTTTCCTTTAAGCCAAACATCATAATGAGGCTTTTTTTTAAGTTTATTGTTAGATTTATTCCATTTTGAGTTTATTTTCAAGTGGTATTGCACTTGAGGTTGGTGATACGTTGCTCTTAATAATTCTCTGATCTTGACGTTGGCTTATCTAACCATATGAAGATAGAGTCTGAGAATGGGGAGATCTCAGTGCTGGGTCAGAAAATTGGCTATTTCCATCACATGTGAGACATTTAGATTCTGAGGGAAGAAGTGAACTTTTTCCAGTTCTGGCAAAGTTTTCTTTAGACTAATGAGCTCATGCTAGAGAGTCTTTCGTGACAAATATGAGCACCATCTGGGTTCCTGACGTTAGCCTTGTTCCTCATCTCTGAGATCAACCAGCAAAACAAGCTAGTGCTACTCAGAGTGTTTGTGTGCATGTGTGTGTGTGTGCGTGTTTGTGTGTGTGTGTGTGTGTGTGTGTGTGTGTGTGTCGGGGAAGGGGGAGTAGGATTCCTGACACATGTTCTGTATGGTTTCTTGTAAGATCCCCCGGAGAGCTCAGCCCCAGTTGCCCACACTGATAACCTGCTTGTTAACACATCCCTTACTGGCTTTTCTCCTTTCCTTGTTTCATTTCTCCTACTTTCTCACTTGTGTTTCTTAGATCACCTCCCAAAATAAACTACTTGTACCCAAGTGCTTGTTTCAGTGTCTGCATTTGGGTAACTCTAAGACAGGACCATTAAAAAAAAAACCCTGGAAGGACGAAAATCTAACATAAAATGTGTTGATACTACATGTACAATCCACATTTTGTTAAGATGAAAGATAATAAGTAAGCCACAAGCCAAATAAACAAATTCTACATGGTTGTCAAAACACACACAGACACACCCACACCCACTCAGATTGCTCTAAACAAGTGGACGGTAACTTGAATAAAAGCAAACAACTTGATGAGACACAAAGTCAGAAAATAGAAAATTTTCTTCGTATCATAAACAAAATGAAGATGACAAATTAGAAGATGTGCACCATAGTCAAAAATGACCAAGGAAAAGAGATAAAATGCACTGG